TGGCAATTAGCTAAATGAAAGCAGTCTGTAGTTTAACTGTTTAGCTTAGATTGCCAGGTAGCCTCAGTGCAGGGATCACAGCAGAGACAGAGGGAAGGAGGACAGGAGGGAGGTCTGATGCCACTTCTGAAACAGTGAAAAACATCCTAACTTTGGGTCTAGCTGCCTGCACTGCTTCTGTTTGGCTCTATCCATGAGTAGCAATATGACGCACAGAGTGTGACACCAGCAGCGGTGTGGGAATTTTGGGGTATAATAATATCACAGAGTATCATCTAGACCTGCTATGAGATAACTGCTGTTGTGATTTGGGGCTATTTAAATATAACTGAATTGAATTGCTAGCATTGTTTATTCTTATCGGCTAAATTCTCTGCCAAAATCCATTTCCCGCAATGATTCTGATTCTATGCCCAATGGGATCCATAATAAAGCTTGGTTGGTGGTGGGTTATGAGCTGTAGCAGAAAGCAGCGAGGGCAGGCAAGCAGGCTGCAGCAGCTTAAATAAGGCACCTTCTATGGAATTTGCCAATGAATGCTAGGAGATTAACCAGCTGAGCTGCTGATGTGGCTGGCTTAAGATGGCTGCTATCAGCTGCTGGTACTGTGAGCTGAGCTTAACTTCGTTGCCTGCCTGAACTAATGCTGTGTTTCATTACTATCCAGATCCCGAACTGTGTTTGAACAAGAAAAAATGACATCATTTTAAAGCTTTCCAAGGGGTTTCCAAATGGTTAACATCAAACTCTAGACATGGCCGGCACTTACGTTAGCGGCAGTTCTTGGTGGAGAACAGGTGACGCTGAGGTCACCGTCAGTCCCAGCGGACATGAAGGTGTAATAGCCCGGCTGGTTGATGGTGATCTGGCTGTTGATCCAGGACTGATACTGGGACACTCGGGTGTAGCCTGATGGGATATTAGGCACTGCGCAGCCCTATTACTGAGGAAACTCGTGATTCCCCCTGGATCCAGCGACCGCCCTGCTTGCTCACCAGCGGACCTCCTCCATCCCCCTTTACGGAAAGAAACATTTAAGAGAAAGAATCTTTGCAGAAGGCAAAATCAGACTCGAACACAGGAGTAAAACTGATCACCTGACAGATGTCCTTCCCTCCAGCACCGGCACACATCTTGTTGTTTGTGATCAGGCTCAATCCGTAGGTACAGCTACACTGTCTGTTCCCCACAATCGGCAGCTGCACCTCCATTAGCTTTTGTGGGTAAGGAAGGGACACTAAAGAGACAAATACAGTTTAGTAAACAGCACAAGTGGTGAAATGTGGTTTCATATGGTTTCACCCAGAACGGCCAGTTCTACATAATCGTACAGGCTTTGCCGTCTAAGGCTATCGCTACTGGGTTTATCCCTCGCGCACACACACACGCAGTACTGAAAAATAGTTTCCCATACCCACCCGCGTGATTGGCCGCCACCATGGTCTCACCCTGTCTATAAATTGGGGTGAGATCGGACAATCGGCTCAGAGCGGAAAGCATCCGGCGTCATGTCGGCTATGCACGGCCTCAACACTCTTGGTGTTCTGTTGATTTATGCTACCTATTGCGATGCGCTACTTAGCAGTTCTAGCGAGTAGCATGAGTTATCTTTAAACAAACATAAATTAGCTAGCTCGTTGTACTGGATGTTGTGGTTAGAACAAGACAGCAAATAGGCTAAATTTACTAGTGTAGACTAATTCAATGTAATATTAAGAGGTATATTCTACTTTTTGGCTTTTCCCCTCCCCCATTATTGAGTTATATATGTTTTTTGTGCATGTAACAGGTTTGCAAAGTGTAAAAGCCCAAAGTCCAGCCCAAAGGGAGTTCCCATCTCCCACGGAAAACTGCCTGAAAACAGCTCGTTTTGTTTACTGTAATGTAGAGACAGAGCTCAGTTAAAACTTCATGGATGAAAGATTCTTTTGTTACAGATTAATAACTCACCACTCCGAGAACTCTCGCTCCAGTCCATGTTGCTAAGCTGGTCGGCAACATGTACAGCTGAACCAAAGCTGTTTACTGGCTTCTCACGACCCGCCCTACTCTGCTTCTGATTGGCTATTAATCCATAAGTCCTTAAGTTAACTGTGCATGTGCAACTCCCAACAAACATCTTGTGGTTGTGAGATGTATCAGTCCATCTCTCAGTCGAGGCAGATGGCCGCTGATATTGAGCCATGGTTCTGCTCGAGGTTTCTGCCTCTTAAAGGAAGTTTTTCCTTGCCTCTGTCGCCTAGTGCTGCTCTTGGTGGGAACTGTGGGGCTTCTGTAAACATCATCATAGAGTACGGTCTAGACCTGCTCTTTTATGAAAAGCGCTCTGTTGTCTGTCTGTAACTGTTGTTTTGATTTGGTGCTATATACTGTAAATTGAATCCATAAGTAAAACGAAGCCTTCAACACAGGGTGAGAAGAAGAGCTGCAGCAATGCGCAGTATGATAAAAAAAATGGTGTTTTTTGAAAATTAAACCATGGAAACCTGTTCTGGTACAAGCCCTAAATAAGATTTTGAACCTGACAATGAGCAGAATATGACCTCTTTAAAGCACAAATAACTTAAACTGTTCCTCTTTTATTTACTTTCTTACTTTATTCAAACTGTTTAAATTGATAGAATTAACACAATTTACTGTCTTTGGGATAATCATATGTTTTAATACAGTATCAAAATATGCTCCCCGTATACTTACAGTAGTCTACACATGGAGTGAGTAGTGGTGCAATATAAAATGATTCTGTAGTAGAAGCATCTGCTATTGATTGGCGCTACGGTAGCATTTTTCGACAAGGAAGCAGACATCATCAGAACACCGGCTGCTTTCATTGAATGTAGTTGGTTGTGCAGGCTTTCTTTTCCTTTCCATCCTTTGTTTAGTGCAGTGTAGTGACTTGATTTGTCTGAATCCTTACTTGTTTATCACATTTGTCTGTCGTCTATTTGGACAAAACACTCCGTTTGAGAAAATAATTCTGTACAGATCAGGTGCTCGGTACACTATAACAAATAAAATTGGTTGCAGTGATTTACAACTTGGATATGAAAGACCAAGAACAAGGCTTTCAAATGAGCTATAATTTAGTTTAGGTTTAGAGCTGATTAGTAGGCTTGAGTTCAAGCTAGCTGCAACTCCACCTCCTCGGCCCGTGCCTCGAGGAATGTGAGTATTAATACGACTGGGACGAGGGGATTCATGGATGCTCCAGAGGGCATCAGAGCGCACTCCACCAGAGGAATCTCAAAGTCTACAATTGTGATTCTTGGTTTTCCCCTTTTTTCCACTTCTCTATGTTTCACTCTGTGCTGAGTGTTTAGTCGGAGTGATTGCTGTCACTTAATGTGGTTGTACTCCCTCCTCCCTGCCTGTTGACACGTAGAGAGCTGTCCTCCATGTTGGCCCTACTCCACTTCGCACTTAGAAAATATTCAAACTTCTTCACAAAACTATGTGTTAATGTCAAGACAAATCATGATATAAGGATCCCTGCACACAGTAACAGGAATGATTTGTTTCTCCCCTGGGTAAAAGAGGAGCTGCATTTTTGCACTGAAAAACACAGTTGTTGACACCACTGTAGTTACACTATCTCTGAAAATAAATATAATCCAGGTTTTCTGACCCACCTCCAGTTCCAACATTGCCCCAGCCGGTGGCCCAGGAGACAGTGCCCTTGTAGAAGGTGCTGCCTGTGGCTGCCAGACAGACGGGCTGGACGTAGGCGTTGAATGTCACCGGTGAGGAGAGCTTCAGGAGGCAGATGTCGTTTTCAAAAGTTCCAGGGTTAAAGTTGGGATGAATGATGATCTGTGATACTGCCCGAGACACTTGATTGGGGTTTGTTCCCTGTAGACTCTGGAGACCCAGAACCACAGTCAGAGTTCTCGTGCCTACGCCTGTGCTGAGGTTATGAGAAGAGAAACAAAAGATAGATGTGGCAACAGGGAGATATCATTCCCATCATCCTTAGTCATTCATGTGCTCAATTAACTTTTTCATGACCTCAAGACCTAATTATGGAAATTGTTTCTAAAATTAATAATTTTCCATTCAGTCTGCACATACAGTCCATGTTCTTTGCATTTGTTGCAGTCGAGAATTCCAGAAAACTAAGGATTCATTTCTACCTCATTCTGCCTTATCAAATTTTTTTTTACAACAAAGCAATCTCCAAGTATACAAATCAAATGAAGTTCAAAATGGAACTTGTGTTTCAGTTTGTTAAAGATCACAATTTGGTTAGGTTTAGGAAAACGTCATTGCTTGGGTTGAAATAACGACGTTACTTTCATGACTTCACTTATGTTCAATAGTCTCCAGTCACCTGTTTTTAGCTTTCATAAATGAAGCTACAGGGCTTCCCCCAGTGCGTTACAAACTGACACCAAGGGGTTTTTGCCACGTAAAAAGAACACTTGTTTACACATGCTTTCAAAAAGTTTAGGGGACATTGGTATTCTCTCTTCTGGTTAGCTCTAGAGCTGCATAGGGCAGAAATTAACTCTAAAATGCAGACTAAACTCATGCAGACTACATGACTTTCAGCGTCGGCTGTCTTGTGATGGGAGTCTTGAAGTCGTTGTGACGTTCACACTACGTGACTGATCGGTGAGAGGGGGTCACACATTACACGAGTGGACTGCGGCTGTGTCACCCGACGCTGGTCTCCAAACCACGATTTGTCAAGAAAACAAACGGGAAATGGGAAATGACGCAAACCTACAGACAAAACAGCTGTTATTATTAAGATGGTAATTACAAAGACAAAGAATCTGGGTGAAAGAATGGATTAGCACAAACAGGTAGGGATGTCTGAGCTACAGCGAGAGATGGAGATGAAAGTGTTTTGAAATGAAAAAGTAACTGCCTGCTCTCATTGGCTGGATGTGGATGTCGGCTGAACTCCTCCAGATACTCCTCCACCGATGTGTCAGTGATGCTTCCGTGACGCATCGCTGACACATCGGGTCAGGAGCTGTTCAGATGGGTCTTCGAGTAGTTCACACGTAATGAGTGGCTGATTTACCCCTGATGACAGCCTGACGGTTGCCAAGCTTACCGACTGGGAAAGTGGGCTTAAAACGTGTCGTGTGATTTAGGCTTAGGTTGCCTCTTATTCATTTTCATCTCTGCCTCTTAGAGCAGTTATTCCAAACCTTGTTGGCTGGTGACCCCTCAAAAAGGAGGCATTGTCTGCTTGATTCCAATCACCACAGCTTGAAACAATCCAGATTTTATCCTTGAATGGTAATGAATGATAAAATCATTCAGATTCGAGTAGGTCTAGGTGGGGAAGGTTGGGAAACACTGCCTTAGGCAGGCTGTTTACAGGACTGCGTGGCAAGTAGTTTTTATCTCGACCCTATCCTCACTAGTTACCTTGTGATGCAGTTAGCAGCTGTCAGCACCCAGTCATTGTTAATGAGGGTTCCTCCACAGAAGTGGGTTCCAGAGCTTTGCAGACTGGCCTGCCAGGGCCAGCTGCCTGCAGAGCCCACCAGTCCTCCAACAATCTTAGTGTTGAGCGTAGGCTGACCGCACACTGAGGAGGGGGACAATAAAGACACAGGATGAACAATCCAGGGTTGACAGCAAATACAAACAATAATGATTATGTTACATTTAGCTGATGCTTTTATCCAAAGCGACTTAAAAAGCTATATATGTCTGAGGTTGCACGCCTCTGGAGCAACGAGGGGTTAAGTGTCTTGCTCAGGGTTTACAAAGTTTATGTCTAACAAAATGTTTGAAACGTCCAAATGGTAGATGGAGAACAAGTTAAAAAGTTAGCAGTAAAACTGTGACTCAGCATCTAGTTGTGAGCGAGACTCACTCCTGTGATCTCAATGGTATAACATTATTATTTTAACAACCATGGTGTTGCCATGAACTTCATTCTGTACAACAATTTGTGAACGCATCACCATTAAATGAACTTCATTGGGCAAAACAGTAAATGAACACATCTACATTCAAACAGATTCTGAAACGAAACATGAAACTGTTTGTTAGAAGAAGAAGAAAAGTATCTAATATAAGCTTTCTGGGGCAAAACTTACCTTGGGCTATGGGTGGTGGCAGGGCAGGACAGGTGACGCTGAGGTCACCGTCGGTCCCTGTGGAGGTGAAGGTGATGAAGCCCGGCTGGTTGATGGTGATCTGGCTGTTGATCCAGGACTGATACTGGGACACTCGGGTGTAGCCTGATGGGATATTAGGCACTGCGCAGCCCTTATTACTGAGGAAACTCGTGATTCCCCCCTGGATCCAGCGACCGCCCTGCTTGCTCACCAGCGGACCTCCTCCATCCCCCTTTACGGAAAGAAACATTTAGGAGAAGGAATCTTTGCGGAAGGCAAAATCAGACTCGAACACAGGAGTAAAACTGATCACCTGACAGATGCCCTTCCCTCCAACATTTAACTCGGCGCACATCTTGTTGTTTGTGATCAAACTCAATCCGTAGGTACAGGTACACTCTCTGTTCCCAACAATCGGCAGCTGCACCTCCATTAGGTTTTGTGGGAAAGGCAGGGACACTAAAGAGACACAAATTTAGTTTAATAAACAAGTGTTCACATGTTTTGAAATGGTTTCAAACAAAATGGGAGTTCAATAAATACATCAGTGATCTGTGGCACACCTCAAGTATTGCCAGATGTTCCTCTATGGATCAAGCAAACATTGTCCCTACTTGAACCCAAAGGACCATGCCAGCTGTTTTTCTATGTCTTAGCCCATTAAAGGTACAATGAGTAGCGTTAAACCAAAGGGGAGGTCCGCCACCAAACTTCAAAACACTTGCAGTACTTCAAATTAAATTTATAGCGCCAATTCATTACAAAAGTTACCTCATTCACTTTTTATATATATAGCAGGTCTAGATTGTACCATCTATTATTATGAACACTTGGTGACAGAGGCAAGGAAAGACTCCCATTTAGGAGGTAGAAAGACCTCGGCCGGAACTGTGACTCAGGTTTGGTGGCCGGCGTTGGATAGCGAAAGAGGACGAGGGGGTGATGCAACACAATATCCACATAGAACTGCATAAAAGGTAAAAGTGGTTGTGGTGCAGACAGAAAATAAACAATGTTATTGATAATTCTAGTAAAATTAATAATAATAGTAGGATTAATAATAATTGTAGCAGTGGCGGCAGCAGGAAGCTCGCAACCACAGATCTAGACCCCACAGCTCCAGAGCCAGAAACACCTGCAGAGAGCAACAGACGGAAAGAGGAGAGGGACGAGAGAGCAGCAAACTACAGGAGAGGGAAGTAGTAGAGTTAGAAACATGTAAGAAAGAGATGAAGAGGAGAGAGGAGCTCAGTGCATCATGGGAAATCCCCCGGCAGTCTAGGCCTATAGCAGCATAACTAAGGGATGGTTCAGGACTCACCTGAGCCAGCCCTAACTATAAGCTTTATCAAAGAGGAAAGTCTTAAGCCTACTCTTAAATGTGGAGATGGTGTCTGCCTCCTGAACCCAAACTGGAACCTGGTTCCACAGGAGAGGAGCTTGATAGCTGAACGCTCTGGCTCCTAGTCGACTTTTGGAGACTCTAGGAACCACAAGTAACCCTGCATTCTGGGAGCGCAGTGCTCTGGTGGGGTAGTAAGGTACGATGAGCTCTTTAAGATATGATTGTGCCTGAAAATTAGGGGCTCTGTAGGTAAGAGGAAGGATTTTAAATTAATGGACTTTTTCAAGCAGCCTGATAATAGGGAATTGCAGCAATCCAGCCTAGAAGTAACAAATGCATGGACTATTTTTTCTGCATCATTTTTAGACAGGATGTTCCTGATTTTTGCAATATTATGTAGGTGAAAAAAGGCGGTCCTTGAAATTTGCTTAATTTGAGAGTTAAACGACATGTCCTGATCAAAGATAACTCCAAGATTTCTCAGAGTTGTGCTGGAGGCCAGGGCGATGCCATCCAGAACAACAACTTTACTTGGGCCCCAGAAAAATAACTTCAGTTTTATCTGAGTTTAACAATCGAAAATTACAGGTCATCCAGGTTTTAACATCCTTAGGGCGTGCTTGAAGTTTAGCAAACTGATTGGTTTCATCTGGCCTGATCAATAGATATAATTGAGTATCATCTGCATAAAAGTGAAAGTTTACGTTTCCTGATAATATTGCCTAAAGGAAGCATATGTAAAGTGAACAGGATTGGACCAAGCACAGATCCTTGTGGAGCTCCATGACTAAAGGCCCATTTATACTCCTGCGTAGGGTCTATGTGCGTACCTATGCCGTAGGCTATGCACGTAGCCATGCATTTATACTTGTGCATAGGTGTGTCCGTCATTCTGCAATTCCGCCCCCAAACGCTAGTCAGCAGGAGCACTACAGCGTCCACTGCTTTGACTCTTGCCGGCCAAGTAGGTTAACTTCCATTTTAGCACTCCGCTAACGTAAATGGGGGTAAAATTGTATACGTATGGCCGGTGTAGCATTTTCAAATGTTACTGACTGAAAGGATCACATTCTGATAGCGAAACGAGTCATTTCGCTCGGATTGCGACGGTCAAATATATTGATTCACTGTGTTACAGCTGCCGTTTTGGCCGGCAGTAAATGTTACTTCAAAGCGTGGGGTACTTCCGTCCGGCTCGGAGGCATTGCGAGGCTACCCAGCCAACCAATCACAGAGCTTACGGTCCTCGTCAACATGATGTGTAGTTACATTTTGGAGGAGGTGCACGTCAGGCGACGGCGTAGCCTCTGTGTAACCTATGCCGTCGATTTGAAGCAGAAGTATAAATTGCACTTAACTTTGGTGTACATGGAGGATTCATCGTTAAGACGTACAAACTGAGATCGATCTGATAAATAGGACTTAAACCAGCTTAGAGCGGTTCCTCTAATGCCAATGAAATGTTCCAGTCTCTGTAATAAAATATGGTGGTCACTTGTGTCAAATCGGTCTAATGAGACAAATACAGAGACAAGTCCTTTGTCTGATGCATTTAAGTGTCATCTATGCATTTATATGAGTTATAATCAAAACTAAAGCAAGTAATACATTTTTATTCTGATTGATATGAAAGTACCCTAGTTGAATGTCATTCAGTATAACACTCAAGACAAAAATGTATTATTTTATGTAAATTTATCCTAAAGACAAGGTCTCCTATTTTTAGGAATGTGTTTTTAGGTTATTTTAACTGGGTTATTTATTTCTTATTGTCCTTTTGCACTACAAAAGTAGCTGATGAGAAACAACTTTTCGTTTCTCTGCGTATTGAAATACCAGGTGAAATGACAATAAAGTTTATCTATCTAGAAGAAAGTACTTTTTTATTTTGAATACCACATATTTGATGCATGATGTGTAGGTTTTTTACAAATATTTCCTGTCTCACACTGAATATCTAAAAATATTTTATTAAGTGGTGTGTATGAATAATTATCATTAACACTACTAACGTGGAGTTTAGTCCACATAAATAGGGCAACTCCACGTTAACCACAAAGATAACCTGTTCTGAGAAGCTTAGAGATTCAACATAAATTGTCATGGCAGCAGACCTCAGGTAAAACCTCTCCACCTTTCGTAGTACGGGTTAATCTGGAAGTTACACCTCACGTCACAAAGTTACTCATAAAGTTACTTTGATAAGCCAGTTGCCGTGTTTTGTAGTCCAGGCCCTGTGGCTCATATGTGTGACATCTGTATCTCCCTGCCTATGTGTGTGTGTGTGTGTGTGGGGGGGGAGAGTCTCCCTTATCCTGATTACCTGATGTGTGCCACCTGGTTGTGCCCCACAATGCTTGTTTGCTCTTGAATAAATGTTTTTTAGTTCTGTTCAGTTCCTGTCCGGTCACTGTAGTATGTTGAGAGTTCTGCTTGTCTCTGTGTGGTTGCATTTACCAGTTTTATTTGGATTTAGATTTGTGTAACAGATTATAACCTTTGTTTGACATTGCAAACTGATATCAGCTCTCCAGTGTTGTGTGTTTGGGCTCAAACCTGCTTAGCACTCAATGAATTCTGAGACAACATAGTTATTGCCACTATTGTAATTAGATCATTTTTGAAAACAAATGTAATCCAGGTCCTTTTTGACCCACCTCCAGACAACCTCCAGTTCCTCCAGTTAATGTCACAGACAAATCATGATATAAGGATCCCTGCACACAGTAACAGGAATGATTTGTTTCTCCCCTGGGTAAAAGAGGAGCTGCATTTTTGCACTGAAAAACACAGTTGTTGACACCACTGTAGTTACACTATCTCTGAAAATAAATATAATCCAGGTTTTCTGACCCACCTCCAGTTCCAACATTGCCCCAGCCGGTGGCCCAGGAGACAGTGCCCTTGTAGAAGGTGCTGCCTGTGGCTGCCAGGCAGACGGGCTGGACGTAGGCGTTGAATGTCACCGGTGAGGAGAGCTTCAGGAGGCAGATGTCGTTTTCAAAAGTTCCAGGGTTAAAGTTGGGATGAATGATGATCTGTGATACTGCCCGAGACACTTGATTGGGGTTTGTTCCCTGTAGACTCTGGAGACCCAGAACCACAGTCAGAGTTCTCGTGCCTACGCCTGTGCTGAGGTTATGAGAAGAGAAACAAAAGATAGATGTGGCAACAGGGAGATATCATTCCCATCATCCTTAGTCATTCATGTGCTCAATTAACTTTTTCATGACCTCAAGACCTAATTATGGAAATTGTTTCTAAAATTAATAATTTTCCATTCAGTCTGCACATACAGTCCATGTTCTTTGCATTTGTTGCAGTCGAGAATTCCAGAAAACTAAGGATTCATTTCTACCTCATTCTGCCTTATCAAATTTTTTTTACAACAAAGCAATCTCCAAGTATACAAATCAAATGAAGTTCAAAATGGAACTTGTGTTTCAGTTTGTTAAAGATCACAATTTGGTTAGGTTTAGGAAAACGTCATTGCTTGGGTTGAAATAACGACGTTACTTTCATGACTTCACTTATGTTCAATAGTCTCCAGTCACCTGTTTTTAGCTTTCATAAATGAAGCTACAGGGCTTCCCCCAGTGCGTTACAAACTGACACCAAGGGGTTTTTGCCACGTAAAAAGAACACTTGTTTACACATGCTTTCAAAAAGTTTAGGGGACATTGGTATTCTCTCTTCTGGTTAGCTCTAGAGCTGCATAGGGCAGAAATTAACTCTAAAATGCAGACTAAACTCATGCAGACTACATGACTTTCAGCGTCGGCTGTCTTGTGATGGGAGTCTTGAAGTCGTTGTGACGTTCACACTACGTGACTGATCGGTGAGAGGGGGTCACACATTACACGAGTGGACTGCGGCTGTGTCACCCGACGCTGGTCTCCAAACCACGATTTGTCAAGAAAACAAACGGGAAATGGGAAATGACGCAAACCTACAGACAAAACAGCTGTTATTATTAAGATGGTAATTACAAAGACAAAGAATCTGGGTGAAAGAATGGATTAGCACAAACAGGTAGGGATGTCTGAGCTACAGCGAGAGATGGAGATGAAAGTGTTTTGAAATGAAAAAGTAACTGCCTGCTCTCATTGGCTGGATGTGGATGTCGGCTGAACTCCTCCAGATACTCCTCCACCGATGTGTCAGTGATGCTTCCGTGACGCATCGCTGACACATCGGGTCAAGGAGCTGTTCAGATGGGTCTTCGAGTAGTTCACACGTAATGAGTGGCTGATTTACCCCTGATGACAGCCTGACGGTTGCCAAGCTTACCGACTGGGAAAGTGGGCTTAAAACGTGTCGTGTGATTTAGGCTTAGGTTGCCTCTTATTCATTTTCATCTCTGCCTCTTAGAGCAGTTATTCCAAACCTTGTTGGCTGGTGACCCCTCAAAAAGGAGGCATTGTCTGCTTGATTCCAATCACCACAGCTTGAAACAATCCAGATTTTATCCTTGAATGGTAATGAATGATAAAATCATTCAGATTCGAGTAGGTCTAGGTGGGGAAGGTTGGGAAACACTGCCTTAGGCAGGCTGTTTACAGGACTGCGTGGCAAGTAGTTTTTTATCTCGACCCTATCCTCACTAGTTACCTTGTGATGCAGTTAGCAGCTGTCAGCACCCAGTCATTGTTAATGAGGGTTCCTCCACAGAAGTGGGTTCCAGAGCTTTGCAGACTGGCCTGCCAGGGCCAGCTGCCTGCAGAGCCCACCAGTCCTCCAACAATCTTAGTGTTGAGCGTAGGCTGACCACACACTGAGGAGGGGGACAATAAAGACACAGGATGAACAATCCAGGGTTGACAGCAAATACAAACAATAATGATTATGTTACATTTAGCTGATGCTTTTATCCAAAGCGACTTAAAAAAGCTATATATGTCTGAGGTTGCACGCCTCTGGAGCAACGAGGGGTTAAGTGTCTTGCTCAGGGTTTACAAAGTTTATGTCTAACAAAATGTTTGAAACGTCCAAATGGTAGATGGAGAACAAGTTAAAAAGTTAGCAGTAAAACTGTGACTCAGCATCTAGTTGTGAGCGAGACTCACTCCTGTGATCTCAATGGTATAACATTATTATTTTAACAACCATGGTGTTGCCATGAACTTCATTCTGTACAACAATTTGTGAACGCATCACCATTAAATGAACTTCATTGGGCAAAACAGTAAATGAACACATCTACATTCAAACAGATTCTGAAACGAAACATGAAACTGTTTGTTAGAAGAAGAAGAAAAGTATCTAATATAAGCTTTCTGGGGCAAAACTTACCTTGGGCTATGGGTGGTGGCAGGGCAGGACAGGTGACGCTGAGGTCACCGTCGGTCCCTGTGGAGGTGAAGGTGATGAAGCCCGGCTGGTTGATGGTGATCTGGCTGTTGATCCAGGACTGATACTGGGACACTCGGGTGTAGCCTGATGGGATATTAGGCACTGCGCAGCCCTTATTACTGAGGAAACTCGTGATTCCCCCCTGGATCCAGCGACCGCCCTGCTTGCTCACCAGCGGACCTCCTCCATCCCCCTTTACGGAAAGAAACATTTAGGAGAAGGAATCTTTGCGGAAGGTAAAATCAGACTCGAACACAGGAGTAAAACTGATCACCTGACAGATGCCCTTCCCTCCAACATTTAACTCGGCGCACATCGTGTTGTTTGTGATCAAACTCAATCCGTAGGTACAGGTACACTCTCTGTTTCCAACAATCGGCAGCTGCACCTCCATTAGGTTTTGTGGGAAAGGCAGGGACACTAAAGAGACACAAATTTAGTTTAATAAACAAGTGTTCACATGTTTTGAAATGGTTTCAAACAAAATGGGAGTTCAATAAATACATCAGTGATCTGTGGCACACCTCAAGTATTGCCAGATGTTCCTCTATGGATCAAGCAAACATTGTCCCTACTTGAACCCAAAGGACCATGCCAGCTGTTTTTCTATGTCTTAGCCCATTAAAGGTACAATGAGTAGCGTTAAACCAAAGGGGAGGTCCGCCACCAAACTTCAAAACACTTGCAGTACTTCAAATTAAATTTATATAGCGCCAATTCATTACAAAAGTTATCTCATTCACTTTTTATATATATAGCAGGTCTAGATTGTACCATCTATTATTATGAACACTTGGTGACAGAGGCAAGGAAAGACTCCCATTTAGGAGGTAGAAAGACCTCGGCCGGAACTGTGACTCAGGTTTGGTGGCCGGCGTTGGATAGCGAAAGAGGACGAGGGGGTGATCCAACACAATATCCACATAGAACTGCATAAAAGGTAAAAGTGGTTGTGGTGCAGACAGAAAATAAACAATGTTATTGATAATTCTAGTAAAATTAATAATAATAGTAGGATTAATAATAATTGTAGCAGTGGCGGCAGCAGGAAGCTCGCAACCACAGATCTAGACCCCACAGCTCCAGAGCCAGAAACACCTGCAGAGAGCAACAGACGGAAAGAGGAGAGGGACGAGAGAGCAGCAAACTACAGGAGAGGGAAGTAGTAGAGTTAGAAACATGTAAGAAAGAGATGAAGAGGAGAGAGGAGCTCAGTGCATCATGGGAAATCCCCCGGCAGTCTAGGCCTATAGCAGCATAACTAAGGGATGGTTCAGGACTACCTGAGCCAGCCCTAACTATAAGCTTTATCAAAGAGGAAAGTCTTAAGCCTACTCTTAAATGTGGAGATGGTGTCTGCCTCCTGAACCCAAACTGGAACCTGGTTCCACAGGAGAGGAGCTTGATAGCTGAACGCTCTGGCTCCTAGTCTACTTTTGGAGACTCTAGGAACCACAAGTAACCCTGCATTCTGGGAGCGCAGTGCTCTGGTGGGGTAGTAAGGTACTATGAGCTCTTTAAGATAAGATGGTGCCTGACCATTAAGAGCTTTGTAGGTAAGAAGAATGATTTTAAATTCTATTCTGGATTTTACTGGAAGCCAATGCAAAGAAGCTAAAACAGGAGAAATATGATCTCTTTTCCTGGTTCCTGTCAGAACACGTGCTGCAGCATTCTGGATCAGCTGAAGAGTCTTAATGGACTTTTTCGAGCAGCCTGATAATAAGGAATTGCAGTAATCCAGCCTAGAAGTAACAAATGCATGGACTAGTTTTTCTGCATCATTTTTAGACAGGATGTTCCTGATTTTCGCAATATTACGTAGGTGAAAAAAGGCGGTCCTTGAAATTTGCTTAATGTGGGACTTAAACGACATGTCCTGATCAAAGATAACTCCAAGATTCCTCACAGTGGTGCTGGAGGCCAGGGCGATGCCATCAAGGGAAACTATATCTTTAGATAATAGATATAATATAACACATCAACAGTATAACACTCAAGACAAAAATGTATTTTTATGGAAATTTGTCCTAATGACATGGTCAGAAGAGAGTATTTTGTTTTGAATACCACATATTTGATGCATCATGGGTACGACACAAAATGTGAATGTATGAATAATTATCATTAACACTACTAACGTGGAGTTTAGTCCACATAAATAGGGCAACTCCACGTTAACCACAAAGATAACCTGTTCTGAGAAGCTTAGAGATTCAACATAAATTGTCATGGCAGCAGACCTCAGGTAAAACCTCTCCACCTTTCGTAGTACGGGTTAATCTGGAAGTTACACCTCACGTCACAAAGTTACTCATAAAGTTACTTTGATAAGCCAGTTGCCGTGTTTTGTAGTCCAGGCCCTGTGGCTCATATGTGTGACATCTGTATCTCCCTGCCTATGTGTGTGTGTGTGTGTGGGGGGGGGGAGAGTCTCCCTTATCCTGATTACCTGATGTGTGCCACCTGGTTGTGCCCCACAATGCTTGTTTGCTCTTGAATAAATGTTTTTTAGTTCTGTTCAGTTCCTGTCCGGTCACTGTAGTATGTTGAGAGTTCTGCTTGTCTCTGTGTGGTTGCATTTACCAGTTTTATTTGGATTTAGATTTGTGTAACAGATTATAACCTTTGTTTGACATTGCAAACTGATATCAGCTCTCCAGTGTTGTGTGTTTGGGCTCAAACCTGCTTAGCACTCAATGAATTCTGAGACAACATAGTTATTGCCACTATTGTAATTAGATCATTTTTGAAAACAAATGTAATCCAGGTCCTTTTTGACCCACCTCCAGACAACCTCCAGTTCCTCCAGTTAATGTCACAGACAAATCATGATAAAAGGATCCCTGCACACAGTAACAGGAATGATTTGTTTCTCCCCTGGGTAAAGGGGGGACTGCATTTTTGCACTGAAAAACACAGTTGTTGACACCACTGTATTTACACTATCTCTGAAAATAAATGTAATCCAGGTTTTCTGACCCACCTCCAGTTCCAACATTGCCCCAGCCGGTGGCCCAGGAGACAGTGCCCTTGTAGAAGGTGCTGCCTGTGGCTGCCAGGCAGACGGGCTGGACGTAGGCGTTGAATGTCACCGGTGAGGAGAGCTTCAGGAGGCAGATGTCGTTTTCAAAAGTTCCAGGGTTAAAGTTGGGATGAATGATGATCTGTGATACTGCCCGAGACACTTGATTGGGGTTTGTTCCCTGTAGACTCTGGAGACCCAGAACCACAGTCAGAGTTCTCGTGCCTACGCCTTGTCTGAGTTATCAGAAGAGAAAAAACAGTGCAAAGACATGAAAAGCAGAACTGTAGTCAAGAACATTTCAGCAGACACTAGTCCATCTAGTTTGTATGGAGCTTGTTAGATGTTAAAACAGGGAGATTCAAATACTCACAAGTTAGTAATTTGTTTCATAATAATAAAAATGATTCCCTCATCTTAGTCATTATTAACCCTAACATGCTCAGTATACTTTTTCATGGCCTGAAGTCCTAATGTCCTAATTCCATAAGTTTTTCCCTCAAATTCTTGATTAGTACTCCAGTCTGCACATGTAGTCCATGTTCTTTGCATCTGTTTAGGTGGAGACCAACAGAACTTTTCTGGACCGAAAAACATCTGTAACATCAACAGGTTTTTTCCCTCCTGTGTTTGCTTCTTCTGAGTCTTTAATTCTAGATTTATTGTCGTCTATATTTGGACTAAACTCTCAGGAATGATCTGCCTTACACATGACTGAATGGAAATGACGCTAAATGATGTAGAAAGTGTTTCTTGCTGACTGACTCTCTCTGACTTTAATTGTCTCGATAATAAGCTAAGTTAATTGGGGAAATAACAGAAAAGAAAAATCTTTCTAATAAATGAAGAAAGTTGTTTGTTCTGCTTTTGTTGTTCAGACTGACAGCGAAAACATTTTAACAAGACGGCAAATCATTAAACGAATCGCATATAAAACTTGGCAGTGATACACTTGAGTTTAGAAAGGACTATTTGTCTTCATGAAAACAGTGTTGCGATGAATCAGATCAGTACGATCAGCTGTCCAATCAATAACGGCTATACGATAAAGGGGCGTGTCGATCAGTAAAAAAAAAGAAAAGACAAACAACAGACTTGAGCTGCACCCCATGTTTACAGTCCGATTAGCAACATGTGATGTGAGAATGGACTTGGAGACGTTTATGACCAGATTGTTTCACAAGTAACCAGTTCACAAAGCTAAAAAAAGCTAAATCATTGCCCTACCCTTACTGCTTACCTGGTGCAGCATTGAGCAGCAGTCAGCACCCACTGATTGTTAATGAGGGATCCTCCACAGATGTGGGGCTCTGAGGTTCGCAGACTGGCCTGCCAGGGCCAGCTGCCTGCAGGGGCCACATCTCCTCCGACAATCCTGGTGTTGAGTGTTGGCAGACCACACACTGAGGAGAGAGACAAAGACAAAATAGGAAAATAAGAAGAATAGAAATATGTCTAAAACGTTCCAGTGACAGACAGGAAGTAAAAAAGAGAGTAGAAACTTTGACTTACCATTCAGTTGTGAGTGAGACTCTGAAAACACAAAACAAACAATATTTGATACAGAAATTGTGTTTATATTTACTGATGTTTTTGCTATATTGATGTGATATTTATGTCAGGATGTTTGTCATCACTCTTAACATTTCTTACTAAAATCATTCAAACACAATGATTGTCTCAAAAATAAAATAATTGAAAAATAATTTTACAGTTACAGAAACTGACTCCTTATATTTTCCCAGTTTCTGCTATTCAGTCAAAACATTATTTGCTGTGACATGGAGGAGGGCTCATTCTGTGAACAGATGTTCTTCTTCTCCTCAGGTAAAGTTTTGCAAAGAAATCTTGTCACACAGTGTCGGTACAGTGACTTCAAACATTCCTTTAAACAGGTGAAAATTGCTGTGGTCCATCTGTTTATGTGATTTATCCACATGTCCCTGAATAAAAAAAAACTTCTCATACATGTCTTAAATTAAATCCACAAATATTCCTTAGTTTGCATGCTTACAAAAAACTCTTACTACAAGGACAGACTGAAAAGAATAAGAGAGTTTCTTTTTTAAGGTGGCTTTAAGTTGCAGAATTACATGTCTGTGTTAAAATAAATTCAGTGCCTTTAACGGTCCAATCAAGTACCATTGAACTTAACTACTTAGCTTGTGCTAAACTGGATTTCTGGCTTGAAAAGTATATACAAATAATACAAATGTGTGAAAGATGTGGAATATTTTAAGGATTGTTGAAAAGATGATACTAAACTGCATTGCTGGCTTTAATTTGCATGAAGAAGTAGCTAAAGGACTTTTTCCATGTCAATTTTATTTAGAATTACAATAAACCTCATATTGCTAATGTGTGTAATGATTTATTTAGTATGAATGGGAATACTACCTACAGTGAGGAAAATAAGTATTTGAACACCCTGCTATTTTGCAAGTTCTCCCACTTAGAAATCATGGAGGGGTCTGAAATTGTCATCGTAGGTGCATGTCCACTGTGAGAGACATAATCTAAAAAAAAAAAATCCAGAAATCAATGTATGATTTTTTAACTATTTATTTGTATGATACAGCTGCAAATAAGTATTTGAACACCTGTCTATCAGCTAGAATTCTGACTCTCAAAGATCTGTTAGTCTGCCTTCAAAATGTCCACTCCATTTATTATCCTAAATTAGATGCACCTGTTTGAGGTTGTTAGCTGCATAAAGACACCTGTCCACCCCATACAATCAGTAAGAATCCAACTACTAACATGGCCAAGACCAAAGAGCTGTCCAAAGACACTAGAGACAAAATTGTACACCTCCACAAGGCTGGAAAGGGCTACGGGGAAATTGCCAAGCAGCTTGGTGAAAAAAGGTCCACTGTTGGAGCAATCATTAGAAAATGGAAGAAGCTAAACATGACTGTCAATCTCCCTCGGACTGGGGCCTCCATGCAAGATCTCACCTCGTGGGGTCTCAATGATCCTAAGAAAGGTGAGAAATCAGCCCAGAACTACACGGGAGGAGCTGGTCAATGACCTGAAAAGAGCTGGGACCACCGTTTCCAAGGTTACTGTTGGTAATACACTAAGACGTCATGGTTTGAAATCACGCATGGCACAGAAGGTTCCCCTGCTTAAACCAGCACATGTCAAGGCCCGTCTTCAGTTTGCCAATGACCATTTGGATGATCCAGAGGAGTCATGGGAGAAAGTCATGTGGTCAGATGAGACCAAAATAGAACTTTTTGGTCATAATTCCACTAACCGTGTTTGGAGGAAGAAGAATGATGAGCACCATCCCAAGAACACCATCCCTACTGTGTAGCATGGGGGTGGTAGCATCATGCTTTGGGGGTGTTTTTCTGCACATGGGACAGGGCGACTGCACTGTATTAAGGAGAGGATGACCGGGGCCATGTATTGCGAGATTTTGGGGAACAACCTCCTTCCCTCAGTTAGAGCATTGAAGATGGGTCGAGGCCGGGTCTTCCAACATGACAATGACCCGAAGCACACAGCCAGGATAACCAAGGAGTGGCTCTGTAAGAAGCATATCAAGGTTCTGGCGTGGCCTAGCCAGTCTCCAGACCTAAACCCAATAGAGAATCTTTGGAGGGAGCTCAAACTCCGTGTTTCTCAGCAACAGCCCAGAAACCTGACTGATCTAGAGAAGATCTGTGTGGAGGAGTGGGCCAAAATCCCTCCTGCAGTGTGTGCAAACCTGGTGAAAAACTACAGGAAACGTTTGACCTCAACAAAGGCTACTGTACCAAATATTAACATTGATTTTCTCAGGTGTTCAAATACTTATTTGCAGCTGTATCATACAAATAAATAGTTAGAAAATCATACATTGTGATTTCTGGAGTGTTTTTTTTTCACAGTGGACATGCATCTACGATGACAATTTCAGACCCCTCCATGATTTCTAAGTGGGAGAACTTGCAAAATAGCAGGGTGTTCAAATACTTATTTTCCTCACTGTATAATGTATTACAAATGTGGAGTATTTTCTATAATATAATGAACTTTAGTTGTCAGAATTAGACACAGTGCAACGCATGCAGAATTTGTTTTCTGCATGTAACTCATTGTAATTAGGAGCACTGGGCAGACATAGTGCAGCACCCAGGGAGCAGGTAGGAGGTCAGGGCCTTGCTCATGATCTGAGCCGACACGGTCTGTCTCCACCTGTGTCTGTGGACAGAGCTAACACAGCCTGTCATCTCTGGGCAGCCAGGTCTGCCTGTGTCATCCGGGCTCTTTGGCCAAGTTGTGGTCACAGAGTCTCTATAGGTGTATTGTTTCCCAATCTTAAGCTTCTATTTGATCAAATATAAACATAAAAATTGTTGCAGAAAGAGAAAGGAGGAGAGGGTCGCATAGCTCCCAAACTAGAATCTATTGGATTTTTTACTAATGACATTGTAGAAGATTTTGCTCAACGTAAAGCTCGTCAAATGCAATTCAAACAGGGGAGTACAAGTGTTTTTTCAAGAGATTTGGTTAAATGTATGGGTTACGTTTTATCATTTGGGGGTCAGGTTGCCGCTGAGCACCTGTTTGATTGTGTGTATGTGCTTGTGTGTATCACACTGCGTGTGCGCTGTAGCTGGCCAGTTTCCATGACCTGGTGTTGTTGATAATTATTGCAGTGCTCTCCTGTCTTATTTACCATTATATCTTGCATCTCTGTTGAAAAGGAATGCGGTTGTCCTGATTCGTGAGGTTATTGTACAGCATCACAGAGGACACCTCCCCTGCACTCAGGTGTTTGTAGTTACATTTCAGGATTTTGACAGCACTATCCAGGCTTCTAATAACTTTCTCTCCGACTTCTGTACTTTGCAAATACAACATTCTAGGTAACACATTCTGATTGTAAAATCCAACACATGATGGTACTCTAGACTTGTGTAGAAGAATATTATTCCAGCATTCACACCAATCAGGAATAATCTTATAGACTTCAGCGGGTCCTGAAGATGGGGCTTATCACTTAATGAAAGATCTAAAATCTGGATCAACTTAAAACTTTTTAATATTTATTTAAGAATGTTCTGCAAGTGGAAGATTTTGTGTCTGTTTCATGATGTCTTGTCAATCAGAAGCACAAATCACAGGTGTGCAACAGGGTGCATAGATTTACTGTAACTTCATAAATGTTACTGTGGGGTGAAACTAAATTAGAATCACATTAAACAACGTTTTGCAATAAACACAAACTTTAATAGACAAAAGAGACATGAAGCATGAAGTTAAAAAAACTACACGTAGTGGTTATTGCAATGTTTTTCACAATTAGTATACCATTTTGAAAAAATACATGTTTTCAAATTACTCATTTTGTACTAAATCAGTGAGGAGGGTTCTTACCTTGTGTCAGGAGAGTCAGCAGAGTCGCCACACAGATCACTTTGTAGAAAGCCATCGCTGTAAGTACATATCATCAGATCTGCACCTGCATAAATACTCTTTTTCTCCCCTCTCTCCCTCCCTCCATGTCTACCTCCAACACAAGCCCAGCTGTCCAGCGACACGCCCAACATCTATCTATAAATGTCATATGTTTGGATTCAACAAGGACTCAACAATGGAACCCAGATCTTCAAGGTCACGGTACCCATTTGGATTGGGTTGCACAAGAGGCTCATTGTTTTATTTGTGTGATTTCTAAATGTGTTTTCTATTGTTTTCACACAGGCGGGGGTGAACATTTTGAAACTGTAAAATGAGGACAGTTGGGAAATTGAAAGAAAAGGGGAGGCTTTTTGCCTTTTCCTCTTCTCCATTACTATCTGAGCTGTTTGAAGAGGCGTGTGCTCATGTGCTTTCAGCTAAGCCTGCTGACTGGAAATGGAAGGATTCAAGGAACTCAGGCCCCTATGGGGTGAATAAAAGAGCTTTCGTGTATTTAGACCATCACCATCGAGGGAGGACCCAGTTTTTGGATAACAACTTCTACAGTTTTCAACAAATCTTCTATCATAAAATTGTCCCTTAAAAGTTTTCATGAAATATTCGCGTAATATATATGAAATCCCAAAATTTAGTTCTATTGTATTGCTTGGGAACTTCACCTGTCCATCTTTTTGTTAAAGATGTTTGCTAGCATCACATCTACATTTACAGTTATTCATTAGGCAGACGCTTTAATCCAAAGCGACTTAAGATTGAGGAACAACATACAAGAATCAAGAGCATCAATACAGCATGAGATCTACAACTGACAATACCTAGTTAGTAAGGGCAGCAATAAATACTAGTAAGAGCTAATAGCACGTATGGCATCAGTGGGTACTGAGTGAGGTAGGGCCTGATTTTTCTTATGTTGTATAGAGCAAAGCGGTACGACCAAGAGACAGCAGCAACATGGTCTGAAAAGGACAGCAGGTCATCAATCATGAGACCAAAGTTTCTCACCACCCTGGTTGGAGTGATGGTGGAGGAGTCAGTGTTTCCCACAGAATGACAGTGTAACTGTGGCGGTGTTGACTACCAGCTATATACACAGCGTGCTAGCCTCGAAAATCCAGCTGCATTCTAACATTAACTTAGCTGTCCTTATTAGCTAGGCTCCTTGCATGCTGGCTAATAACTTCTTGAAAGCTGGGTCTCCGACACTGACAGTGTTGTGTTGGACAGATTTGTGCAGCGGTGTTCCACGAGGGAGAGAGAGCGAGAGAGGGACGGGTGAGCTGCACGAATGCGCTATGGTGCTCTGCAATCAAATACAATTCTAAATAGGCTTAGTAAGAAAAAAAAAATCAATCTGTGGCAGTCAGCATTGAGATTGTGGCAGGCCGCCACAAATAAATGAACATATGGGAAACACTGGGAGTCATCTATAAATGAAACAGGGTGCTGCGTGCATGCAAAGACAAATGGACCCAACATTCCTTTAAGAGACACATGATGGGTTTCTATAGAAATATCATGAAAAAGAGGGTCTTGTTGCTGAAGGGGCAGTGTGAAGATACAAGTTGGAAACTCTGCTGCTATGTCAGCTCACACTGGCTATCACAAGGACTGCTAGAGCCATTTCACTAACATCACAAAGTTAAAATGAGCCCAGGAGAGAAGAGATAAGGCAGTTTAATACAAAAAGAGATGTAAAAGAAGGTTGGTATCAAACATGCAATGAATATTATTATTATTATAATCCAGAATTTCGAGTTGCTCAACACAAGTGACATATCTGGGACATGTGATCACAGCAGAGGGCAAATCTTTCTCGCAAACACCATCCAATCTGTTCCAAAACCAATAACCATTAAATAAAATTGAAAAAGGTTGGCACGGTGGTGCAGTGGTTAGCACTGTTGCCTCACAACAGGTTCAGAGTTCGAACCTTGGTCATCCCAGGCCTTTCTATGTGGAGTTGGCATGTTCTCCCCATCTCTGTGTTCTCTCCAGGTGCTCCGGTTTCCTCCCACTGGCCAAAGACATGCAGGCTAGGTTCACTGGTGACGCTGAATTGTGACTGTGACTGTGAGTGGCTGTTTGTGTTTGTGTGCCCTGTGATGGACTGGTAACCTGTCCAGGGAACCTGTCCACCTCTCGCTCCAGTGCCCCTGCGACCCTGTACGCAGGATAAACGGTTGACGATGGACGGACGGATAGATGGAGGAAAAGGTGATGAGCTTAGTAGGAATAACTTAATACAAATCTCTCTCTTCCATGATTCATGGTGATAATCTCAGTGCACTTAACAGAATGACTTGGACTGACAAACCTGACTGCTTTCACTGACATAAAGGGCTATTTACAGTTTGTAGTGATCCTGTGATTGAATTCAATGAAATTACACCACGTGAAGGAAAGAAATACTGCCTTCATGTTGTGAACATTAAATGTGTTGAAGTTTTCCCTCTGCTAAACAGGAAACCAGGTCATTGGTCAAAGCCCCACTAACTGAAAGGTGAGACATTCCAGCTGTCATCAGCCCCTCACAGAGTGCTGGTGCTGTAGCACTGTAACTGGAAAGCCCAAAATGTTGTGATGAAACAAGACTTTAATTGGTGAAAGCACTTATAATGGTGCTTTTCCACATGTGCGTGTGACATTACATTCACAACTGAAAAGTACCCTGCAAGCCAGAGCCACAGCTCTGCTCCACAATCTGAAGCCAAGAGATTCATTAAGGACCATAGGAGACATCATTAGAAGCAGAGGCGATATCAAGGCCTTTACCAGATGCTGTCCACCGAAACAGCTGTAAGCTTCTGAGCTTGTAGCTGTAGGCTATGTCGGTCCAGACCAGCCATCGCAAACTCATTCCAGAGCCGTACAGCGTGCCAGCAGCCATACCAATGCAAATCCTGCTACTGTTGATAGACTGAAGCTAAGCAGGTTTGGGCTTGGCCAGTACCTGGATGGGAAACCTCCTGGAAAAACTAAGTTGCTGCTGGAAGTGGTGTTGGTGGGCCACTAGGTGGCAGTCTTCCCTCTGGTCCTAATAATAAGATCCTAGTGCAGTGATGGGGATAGTACGCTGTAGGAGCTGCCGTCCTTCGCATGAGACGTTAACCCGGGGTCCTGACTAATTGTGGTCATTAAAGGTCCCATGGCACTTCTTGCAAAGAGCAGGGGGCTCCCCGGTGTCATGGAAAAACTTCCAACCTGGCCATCTAGTAATTGGCTCAATGTTTCTCTGCCTCAAGCTGATGTGTGGTGAGTGTTCTGGTGCTAAATGGCTGCCGTGCATCACCCAGGTGGGCGCTACACATTGGTGGTGGTTGAGGTGAGTCCCCCCCACTTCACTGTGAAGCGCTTTGAGTTTGTATGATAAAGCGCTATATAAATGTAATTCATTGTACAGCAACTTCGGACCCTCCGTTCACAACCCAAATCACCTAGCTGAGGCCCATGGCTGAGGACTCTTCAGGAGTGTAGGCTGCTCACTGCTCTTTAGAGACCAACACAAAATCCCAGGACGAGAAGAAGAGGGGGGACAGTGTTGGCACACTGTCTGAAGAAACCAACCTTATGAGCGAGATGTGAAAATGTGCCCTCCCTCCTATAGCATGCCGGTGTAACGGAGGTCAACGGAGTTAAAAATGCACTTTAATAATTCTTATTTCCAAATGTGCATCTGTGAATTTTATTTATTTATGATTTTATTGAATATTTGTGAATTTTATCTCATTGAGTTATTTTTTATTTATATTTATTTTTGCTATTTTTTCCTGTAGAAATGTCCTTAGCTGCACACTACCCCTTTTGTACCTCCTAAGCTTCCGTAGTGCTCGTCTCCCTCAGTCGCGTCTTGCACCGCTGAGGATAAGTTGTGTGGAAAAGTGCTGCTGGGTTTATGTACTGTTTTCTTTGGAAATTGAACCATTTACGTAATAACTTTAAACACAAATTGTGCAATGTCAATATGGTTATGTCTCATAGCAGTTTTGTATTAGTGTGACCGTTAAAATACGTTTTATCAGTGTTTTCATTTTAACTTTCTAGCGCCAGTTTTACCACGGCAGGCGGGCCGTGTCATGTTACCTATGTAGCTTGTCAGCGTCTTGTCACTTGAGTAAACGCTGTATTTTTGTATGTTTAGGAAGCAGAGGTAATGTAAGAGGAGGCCAGGGGGTAATTGATGTGTGCATTGTGTTCTGCAGGTATGTGTTTTCCTTCTGTTTATTAATGTAACTTTTGTTGTCTCTGTCACCTCCCACACACACTTTTAATTCAGACCACCAGGTGTCGCTGTTATGTTAGGCTATGTTGTTTTAAGGAAACCTATGTACTGTTTTTATGTAATTGTTGCATTTAATATTTAGTATTTTCTGAACAGTGTTAATGGCTTTCTATGAACACTATGTACACTATGAGCAAAGTAACTCATGTGATGTTGGAGTAATGTGTTTGTAATGTATTTTGAATACATGAAGTGCTCAGTCGCGTCTTGCACCGCTGAGGATGTGCGAGCCAATAAATTGTGGAAAAGAAGTGATCTCAAGAGTCATCCTTCACACACCCGACCACACACGTTACACCAAGCTCAAACAAACAACAATGAGTGAGATGCAGAAGGAACACTGGGTCACCAACAAGGACTAAAGATGGAATGCAGATCTCTGAGACCACGGCACCCATTCTGTTTGCTTGGATGGTTGGAACAAAAGGCTCATTGTTTTTTTGTGTGTTTTCACACATGCGGAAAGACTCATTACAGTGCACAGCTCATGTTTCTGATGGACTGGGTGAACATTTTCAGAAAATAGGAAGATTGTGTTTCCAGCATGTTTTCTGGACAAAGGAAGGCTCCGGTTGCTGTGGTCCTCTTCTCCATTACTAATTGAGCTGTTCGAAGGGGTGTGTCCACATGTTCCTAAGGCTAAGCCTGCTGACTGGAAATGGAAGGATTCAAGGAAGTCAGGTGTGAGAAATACATTTTAGGTTTCTTAGGACTCATTATATTTACTCTTAGAAATAAGTCTTGGT